AATACATTTACTAACATACCATAACTCCCCTTCCAGTTCTTAAAAATGCTCCACCTAGTGTGATAATTCCCATTTCCTTGTTTTATAGTGCACAAGGAAGAATCTGGGGCTGGATTATGAGAGCTCAGTTAGTGACTGGTGTATATGTGAGAAGCTCATAAAAGCTTCTTTCTGTAGATGGTCTTCCAAACACAGAGGGTTCTGCTCCTGTGCAGCTGTGGGAATTTAGAGGTTCCTAGGCCCTCAAGAGGGCTGGGAATGCTTCAGTGGGAAACAGCTTTTAAAATTCTGCCTCAGAATTGAGATCTAATGTTACACTCATAACTCCTGATTTTTCTTTTACAACCTAGCCCTGAGGAGTTGTATCTAAAACCTGGAATTTGCAGTGTTTACTGTACTTGGAAGAATTCTATGTCATGGAGCAGTATTCTGAGCAGATCACTAAATCATTCTATGTTTGACTCTTTGTTCTGTGTTAAACTGATTCCTCATGCCTGTGAGAAAGATAAACTCCCAGTCAACCCTGAACTTGTGCAGGATTTGCTTCTTCAGCTGGATCTCTCTAAGTCTATGGGGCCTGATGGGATTCATCCAAGAGTAGCCAGAGAGCTGGATGGTGTCACCACAAGACCTCTCTCAATGATTTCAGAATCTGGCAATCTGGAGAGGTCCAAGTCTACTGGAAGCTGGCAAATACTGTCCCAGTTTTCAAGAAGGGCAAGAAGGATGACCATGCAAACAACAGGCCTGTCAGTCTCACTTCAATGCCCAATAAAATCATGGAGAAGAGTCTGTAAAGCTTCTGATACCATTTCTGACAGTATCCCTCTGGAGAAAATGCCCAGCACTCAGCTGGCTAAGCCCATTGTGTGCCAGGTGAGTGACTGGCTCACGGGTCAGGCACCAAGGGCTGTAGTAAATGGGGGGACATCACCTGTGGGCCCTGTCACTAATGGGGTTCTGCAGGGTTCTGTCCTCAGCCCCATTCTCTTCAACATCTTCATCCTGCTCTTGTGCAGCTGTGGGACTTCACTGCTTCAACACTCTCTTCAACATCTTCATTAATGACCTGGACCCAGGACTGGAAGGAGCAGCAAGTAAGCCTGCTATACTGACTATACTATAATGGGAGGAGCTGTAGACTCCCTCGAGGGAGGGAGGCAGGGAGGGCCCTGCAGGGACCATGGCAAGGGCTGGGCAATCACCAACCAGATGAAGTTTAATGAAGACAAGTGCTGGATTCTGCCCCTCGGTATGGAGCAACCCTGGATGTATGGACAGACTGGGCAATGAGATGCTGCAGAGCAGCACCGTGGAATGGGAGCTGGAGGTTGTAGCTTTTGGTAAATTGAGCTTCAGTCCATGGTGTGGGCTCCTGGAGCTGGGGAGAAGAGGGACAGTGCTTCATGGGAGTTTAGGAAATGTTCCACCCCCTGAAGTGCCAGTTCTGCTCTGAGCTGTGCCCTGATGTGTGAGGATCTGTGTCTTAGGTAATCTGCTGTGCAGGCTCTATTCCATAAGTCTGCCATGTAGATGTCACACCAAATACCTGGTCAATAAGTTGCAGCCAGATTCAAGTGCCTGGTTTTGCAGACTGGAGAGGATTGCTTTAATGGCAAGAGTCACTGATTGGATTTTTGTTTTCTTAAAGAATCCAGGGTAAATATCTTAATCAGAGTCATTAGAAGACACCACACACGATCAGCACTCTGACAACTGGAGCAATTTGTTTGTGCCCTGAGCTCTGTTACTTTTCAAAGCTTAGCTTATCTTGGGAAACAGCTGCCCAGAAAAAAGAGAAATAGCCCATTTCAGACTTCTTCAATTCTCTGAGCAATGTTGAATGGAACTGTAATTTGCTGTTGTGTTTTCCTATTGCTTAGTAAATAAACTCTTCTAAAAATCATGACTGGGATTTCTGGGAAAGTAAATCTGAATTAGGTAGTATGAAGAATACTCAGGATATCTTTGTATCAAGTTGTGTTTTTTGCTATTTCAAAGACTATTTTAAAGGTCTGAGCTTGAAAATACAAGTCTGCCATAGAAAACATCAGCTGAATCAACATTGATGGTCCTGCCAAAGGCAATTAATCTTTTAAATCTCTTCCTATTTACTAATATGTGTTTCTGATTCTCTGGCTAAAGAATCCTAGTTTCCACAGAATTCACAATCCCACAGATTTTCTCAGCATCATAAAGAATGCTTTCCAGAATTCATCATGTTGCTCAGAGTGTTGTTGTTTTACTCAAGGACATGTAAGCCATTTGCAAAGTTTCCTGACAGAATTGCCATATTTTGGGTGTTTCCTGTGATGGGAACATTGGTCAGGATGACTGACAGATTAAAGCTACTGGCCTTTGAAGGAGATGTCACAGATGTTCTTTGTGGTGCCTAGGCAAGAGTATTTCAGAAATGAAATAATTGGGGAGGAAAAAGATACAGTGGAAAAGAGAATCATTGACAAAATGAGAGAAAAAAGCTCTAACTTTTCAGGCACATCTGCTGGAGGCACAGATTTGAGAGGGACTACCCTGCAAGTTGTCTTGGAATGCAGAGAATTTATCTGACGAATTAGGAAAGAGCTTTCCACAGCAAAAAATTGTGTTAACATTGTGTTGGTTCTGTCAATTTCTCATAGCAGTTCAAAGCAAATCTGAGTTTCTTAGTCTAAGACTCTCCTTAAGAAAAATATTTCCTGTTCCTTACCCTGTTGCATAGCAAGGTATGTGTGCATTTAAATACTGCAGCTCAACAGTATCTCTGGTATACTTCTGTTTACTTTGTGGCCCATCTAACTTTGTTTACTGATTATTTACAAAATTCATGGTTATTTCTGGAACAGTTGAGGTGCAAGAACAACTTTTTATGTCCCCCTTTTACTCTTTATTTGACAAAAAGCCCCTGCCAATATTTGTGCTGTTTCCCCAGAATCTCCTACTAGTGTCAGAAGAGACCCTCAGGCTATGGATTTTGTCTTAATGGTTAAACTACAGTTCAGGCTTACTTAAAAGAGGTTCACCACGTGCTGAATACATTGTCCTTTGCCACACTGAAAGCAGATTGAGAAGACAAATGTGCAAAAAGTGGCTAGAGAACACAGCAGAGTAAGAGCAACCAGATTTAGCTATTTCTGTTCTCTGTTGTGCCTTCCACACACCACCAGGCAGGCTCAACACAATCTAACTGTGCTTTTTGTAAACTCGAGCCCTTCGCTCTAATATTGCTCCTACCCTGCCATCTCTATTGAAATCTTTCCCCCAAGTTAAACAGTGCTTTAAAACTGACCTCTCAGTCAAACCTAAGCAATGCTTTGCTTCACTTTTGCTTCACCATTCTCTAAGGCCATACAGTCTTAATCAAGTGAACACTGATAGCACCAATGCTATCCTAAGAGTTTTTCCTGGCTCCCAGAAGGATGTCCAGCTGTCCACAACTCACTGGGCACAGTGGCCTAAGAGTTTAGTTGTTGTACTGCAAAAGGTTTTAAACCATTGGCAGTGAAGTCTTACATGTGCTGCTGCTTCTACTCCCTACAGACAGCTTGGTCTGTCCTGGCAATGGAAACTCCAATAGGTGAGGTTTCCTATGCTTGGCAGTGTTTTAAGTTAGATTGGTGTCTGATCAATTCAGCATTATGGATGAACCGTAACTACTTGGTTAGTCCTGGATAATAATCATTAAAGACTGCAAAGTTTTAATTTCTCCTCTTCTAAGCCCTACAAGATATGGAAGGACTCCGATGTAAATGCCACAAATAGAGAACTGAGAGAGGAGAGGAAGGGGAACTGCTTATAGGTCTAATTTTAGGCTGGCAAGGCCATCCCAGGTGCCTCTATAGCCACAGGAAAAAAGCACTCTCAAGGCAGAGCATGGGTTTGTGTCACTTGTCCCTCTGCAGCTCTGCTGGGGTCATCCTTCCCTAGGGCTTGTTCTCCTTTCCACGCCGAGCCAGAGGGGAGAGTGGATTTCACTCTGCGCAAGCCCAGCTGTTAACAGAGATGTGTGTGATGTTAATCCAAATAGGAAAAAGAAAACAACCTTAGAGCCAAACAATCCCTAAAGCATTTCCCTGCACAGGCAGCTGCTTCTCCAAGCTGTGGAGTCAGGCCAGCCACCGGGGCTGCGGGGACAGGAAGGTGGAGGGGACAGGACAGGAGCCCAGAGGTGCTCCCAGAGCACCACCACTGATCCTGCCCTGGGTGAGCAGGCCTGGCAGTGCCCTCCTGGCTCTGGCTGTGTCCGGTTCTGGACTCCTCAGTGCCAGAGACAGGGAGCACCTGCAGTGGGGCCAGCAGAGCTACAGAGCTGACCAAGGGGCTGCAGCATCTCTCCTCTGAGGAGAACCTGAGGGAAATGGGCCTGGACACAGCAGGTTGGACTCGACCTTACAGGTCTTTTCCAGCCTAATTGATTCTGTGATTCTGTTCAGCAATGAGAAGAAAGAACTGAGAAGGGACCTCATCAATGTGGAGGTGACAAAGGATGGATCAGGCTCTGCTCGGTGGCGCCAGGCAAAGTGACAAGAAGCAACGGGAACAAACAGAAGTTCCACCTGAATGTGAGGAAGAACCTCTTTACTGCGCAGTGACCGAGCACACAACAGGCTGCCCAGAGAGCATGTGGGGTCTCCCTCACCGGAGATACTGAAGAACGGTCAGGACAGACTCCTGTGCCATGTGACCCTGCTTGAGCAGGCAGTTCAAGGCTGTGGCTCCTTCCAGGCCGTCCCATTCCCTGATTCTGTGCCTGCGGAGGGAGCAGAGCCCTTCCCGCAGCTCCCCGGGGGCACGGCCGTGACCGCCCGCCATGGCGGCCCCCTCAGGCGGCCCCGGCAACCGCGAGCGGCAGAGCCACCAGCAGCAGCATGACGTCACCCCCGCGCGCAGGGCGCAGGCGCGGCGTTGCGGCGCGCGGCCGGGCCGCCCCCCCCGCGAGCGGCGGGGGCCGTTCCCAGAATGCCGCGCGGCGCCGCCCGCCCCGCGCCGCCATGGAGGCGGCGGGCGCAGCCGGAGATCCCGGCCCCGCCGCCCGGCCCCGCTCCCGCTGAGCCCCGCGCGCCCCTCGCCCTGCAGCATGAGCGGCGGCGGCGGCGGCTCCTCGGCACCCGGCCGCTTCGCCGACTACTTCGTCATCTGCGGGCTGGACACCGAGACCGGGCTGGAGCCGGACGAGCTCTCCGGTGAGTGGCCGGCGGCGCTGGGCGCGGGGGCGGCGGGGTCCGGCCGCGCTACCTGCCCGCGCCGCTACCTGCCCTGCCCGCGCCGCTACCTGCCCTGCCCGCGCCGCTACCTGCCCTGCCCGCGCCGCTACCTGCCTTGCCCGCGCCGCCGCCTCCCCGCTCCGCAGCCCCGGGCGCTGCCGTGCCTGCCCGTGCCCTGCCGGGAGCCCCGGGCGCTGCGGCTCCGCGGGCATGCGGAGCGCCCGGCCGGGCACGGACCGGGGTCGGTACAAGTGGCCGAGCAGCGCCGCGGGACGGGCTGGGCAGAGCGCGCCCTGTGCGGTGCCGTGGCTTTAGGCGGTGCGAGCCCCAGCGGCGATGTTCTGCGCTCCCTCCGGAGCCCGGTGCGAGTACCAACTTTAGCCAGGCGTTTGAGACACACGGGCACTCTGAAGGAGTCGGGTTTGGGAGAGAAAGAGAAAACCATTTGCGTGTTCACTGTTACCTTTTTTTCGTAGCCCGGGATAAGAATTCTCTTGCAGAAGTATCCGAAAAGAAATCGGATTAGGAAGTGATTACTCTGCTGTTAGGTGAGAATGTTCACACCGCAACTAAACCATATCCATCTAAACCACACCACTGTGTCAAAGCAGTGTTTTTAAGGTTAAAAATCATTAAATTTTAGCAGCACCTCTCTTCAGCTTTAGTCTCATTTTACTGGCCTCAGTTAAATCGGAGTGTGGCTTAGCATCTCTAACAGTTCAGAAAGGTGAAGGAATGTGGTGGTGAAAATCTGACCTAACATCAGCACTGGTTTTGTGTATCTGGGCTCTGAACTTGACCGGTGGTACAGTCTCTCACCCCCAGCCTCGTGTTTTTTTTTTATTAGTTAGTTTTTATAAGATGTCATGGGGTTTTTAACATTGATGCATTTAAACTGTCCCTCACTAAATAAATGCTTGTTCCTCGTAGAGTAGAATTCGTGTTATTAGAACTGACTTCTTGCATTGAGTGAGCTCCTCTAAACTTTGGCTATTATGGAAACTCTTTTTTTTGTTTAATGACTTCAAACAAAATTTCTCACCTGTCCCTCATGCTGAGCAGTACCTTTCCCTAAGAGAATTCATGTTTGTCTAATGTTAAAGTGACTGTAGGCTACAGTTTGAGGCTTGAGGAGTGAGTACAGCATAACAGTCTGCTCTGCAATGGCACTGCAAATTACAGTATCAGTTTGATTTAAGAAATCTAAGAGAACAAAATGCAATTTCATTGAGAGATATGTGAGGGTTTCTTTTAATTAAATGGAGAATGAACGAAGTTTATAGATCAAAAACAATTAGAAAGATGTTAATTTTGTGATTAATTTACTACAAATCTATTTGTGTAATGTGGTGCGAGGCATACTCAATAATGCTCCCTGTTCTTGATAGGCTTATGAATAATTCTCCTCATATAATTCAATTTAAAACCAACAGTGCATTACTTTGGGCTAGCTATCTAATAGTAAACTGGAAGATATAAGTGCCTTTTTTAAAACAGCCTGTCAGAGTGTGCAGGTCTGAAAGCTGGAGCATGCTGTTCTTTCTGTGTTTGCTTTCCTGGTCAAGGACTGCATCTATAGTATGTAGAACTGTGGAGTGTGATGTATCCTGGTCTCTGCTGTTCCACCATGGTGTTACCTGTGACAAGGTGTGGGGCTGGGGGGAGAAGAGGTTGTTGTGTTTATGGGGGAGACGGATTTTTGTATGATTTGAGAAAAAATTTTAAAAGAAGGTGGGGGAAAATTTCCGATAATGTCACAGCATAAGGGCTAGGTGGAATTCGAGTGTGTTTTCTTGAGTTTGTTGTGTTATTAATAATGCATGATAGTGTGACTGATAATGCTTTCAAACTGTGTCTTGGGCTATAGCCTCCTCCAGTGTCCACTGATAAATATGGAGAGGCCTCTGTTATATTTCAGCGGCTTTCGGATAAGGCTTGGAAACACTCTGTACTTCCTGCGAGCCTTTCTTGTTTGAATGAAAGGGTCATTGTGCGCTGGTGTTTTTTCCCCCCCTCGCTCTGATTTCTGCGCTGCAAAACAGCTTCTGAATCCTCGTCCTGTTGAGACAATTGGCTCCGTGAGTGCCCATTGTTGGGCCGGGGCCGGGCACGGCGGGTCCGTGCGGGTCCCTCATGCGGGGCCGGGCACGGCGGGTCCCTGCGGGTCCCTCATGCGGGTCTGGGCACGGCGGGTCCCTGCTGCGGGTCCCTCATGCGGGGCCGGGCACGGCGGGTCCCTGCTGCGGGTCCCTCATGCGGGGCCGGGCACGGCGGGTCCCTCTGGGTCCCGCTGCGGGTCTGGGCATGGCGGGTCCCTCATGCGGGGCCGGGCACGGCGGGTCCTTGCTGCGGGTCCCTCATGCGGGGCCGGGCCCGGCGGGTCTCTGCTGCGGGGCCGGGCACGGCGGGTCCCCCTGGGTCCCTGCTGCGGGTCCCTGCTGCGGGGCCGGGCACGGCGGGTCCCTGCGGGTCCCCCGGGGCTCTCCTGCGGCAGGGCTCCGGAGCGGCCCCGCATGATGTCATCCCTCCCTCCCTCTCTCCCTCCCCGCACGGAGCCCGCCGCGCTGCGCGGCCCCGGGGATGCTGCCCGCACACTTTGTTCTCGGCAGGCTCACCCAGCCGCGCAGTTCAGGTGTTCGGCCTTAATGTGGGTGCTACAGCGTTAGCTTCACGCTTGGAAATGAGGGATAAGCTCAGGAATTGGTGCTTGCTCGAGTTACTTTGTTTGAAGAGACACCTCTGATGGCGTTTTCCCTTTGTATGTTGGAAGCTTACTGAATAGCACAGCTGTAAGGCTTTTTCCTGAAAAAGTTGGCTGGCTGGTGGAAAAGGCACAGGATATAAACAAACATATATATATATATATATATATGTTTGTTTTCTTTTAATGCAATGAGAAATTCTGTATTTAGGACTTGTAGTTAGCACAGGTTCAAGAGTCTCTATTGCTAGGGCATTTTTATCCCTATTCTGTGCGTCCTTTCTTATTTTGATAATTGTGTTCCCACTGGGTGACTTCTTAAAGGACACGGAAAATATTTGCTAGGTGATAGCAAAAAAAACAAAACCCCCAGCACTGGATGAAGCTTAAGCTCCAGTGTCAGCTGCTAAGCTGGGTGAGAGAGGAACTGCCGCGCGTTTCTGTGTTTCCAGATGGTGTTGATACACCAGAAGTGATGACAGAAATTTTCATTACACGGCTGAGGTCTGTTACAGGTGAATTTCCTTCACAGAGCAAACCACTGAAGGGTTGAAGGTGGAAGGGACCTTTGGCAGTTGTCAGGTCTAGGGCCAGTTGCCCAAGACAATGTCCAGGTGATTTTGGGTATCACCAAAAATGGAGACTCCCCAACCTCCCTGTGCAGCCTGTGCCAGGGCTCAGTTACCCTCACAGTGAAAAGCTGTGTCCTGATGTTTGGATGGAACCTCTCGATTTTGGTTTGTGCCCATTACCTCTGGCCCTGGAATGGGATACAGCCTGTCTCCATCACCTTTGTACTTTCTGTTAGATGTTTCTATACATTGCTAAGATTGTGCCCTGAGCTTTTCTGTTCTGCAGGCTAAACAGTCCCAGCTGTGTCAGCCTTTGCTCCTGTCCCTTATTCATGTTTGTGGCCCCTTTCGGCACTCTCTGCACCGTGTCCATGTGCTAAGGAGCACAGAGCTGGGCACAGCACTCCAGCTGTGGCCCCTCCAGGGCAGGATCACCTCCTCAGCCTGCTGGCAATGTTTTTGACTAATGCACCTTGGGTACCACTGGCCTTCTTTGGAGCAAGGGCACATTGCTGGCCCTTGGTCATCTGGAGATGATGAAATGCATCACCAAAAATCTACTGTACATAATGTAATGTATTGTAATGCTGCAACATTATGGTAGGATTTCTTCATTCAGATTGTATGACTGTGCCCTGGAAAGGTTATGAGAATGGAGTTGAGGCTCATCTTTCAGCTGAAGTCTTTTGTCTGTTGAGTTAATCAGATGTGATCTGAATGATGGTGGGAAACCTTGCACTCTATGGAACTAGTGGGGTTTTAGTGGAAAAGAACATGGAACAAAAGGATTTTTACAAGCAATCACTTGTCAGCAGAGTTTGTTTATTATGGAATGGCAAAGCAAAACATTAGCTTGCCATTGCCTTACATTTTTGTGAAATTGTGGTCTTGGGGTTGCTTTTACAAAATACAGAACTCAGATCTAAGTATCTGGAACCCGTGTTCTAATGAAAAGCATCTGTTGAACATACCTGGGTCATCTTGAATGTTGTATAAAGATGATATCAGTTATTTCAGAAATAGCAATGTTACAAAGGAGAAATAGTGTAAAGAAAAAAAAAGCCTATGATCTGTGAAGAAAAGATTGATGATTCAATAATAGGACTGTTTTTTTTAAAAAAAAGAAGAGTAAACCCAATGACTACTCTGCCACCTGTACTTTTTTCCCTGCCTTTCTTCCCAGTTTGAACTGTTTTTATAAGGTTTGGTCTAAAAATTACTTTATTTAGTAGGTGGACTTGTGTTCCTTTGCTCAAGTCCTTACCATGGTGCTTTGAGTTTTTTCACTTGATCATGAACTTCATCCTTACAGGAGAATGAAAATAGAGTTAGGTGAAGCCCAATTGTCCAGGAAGTATCTTTGCTGTAGAGACCCCTCATGAGCCTTTTCAGAGTTCATATTAGGTCTGCTTTCACTCTCTTATGTTATGATTGGATACAATTTTAATGGTTCTCTGTCATACCCTTTTTTTTTTGCATTTTCTTTTTCATGGTGTTGAGGCAAGACCTGCATGTAGAATAAGTGGCATAACATGACTGGTTATGAGTGAGGCATCTCTGTGTTGCCACAGGAGCCACTTGATTACTGCTGGTTTGTGAAAAGAAGATGATACCTGGTGTATAGTATTCACCTAGCTCCACTCAAAATTATTCTGACAATCTCAGAGTAAGCGTTTCTCCTCACCAGGAAAACAGAAACATTGTCT